ATGCTAAGTCGATTCAGAAGTCACTTCGGTAGTGTTCGACTCTTTGCGACCCTATGGACGGTAGCTTGCCAGACTCCTCTGTCCATGGGATTCTACAGGCAAGAATACTGGAGTGGGCTGCCAAGCCCTCTTACAGGGGATCTTCCTGACCCAGGGATCAAACCCATGTTTTCTGCATCTCCTGCCTTGGCAGGTGGGTTCCCTACCACTAGCGCCACCTGGTACATAGGCACTAAGAGTGGTAACAGCCTAGCTTTGACTAAAGTGTGTGACTCAAAGCTGGGTGGGCCTCTGGGGCCATAGTTTGAATGCTAGCTTTGCTATATATTTAGCTGTGTGACAGACGCAAGTTACTCAACCTTTCTGTGTTTCAGTTTCTTCATGAGGTAAAATGGGATTAATAACCGTTCTCGCTTCATAGAATTATTGTGAAGATTAAATGAAGTGATATATGTAAGGTGCTTAAAACAGCACAGAGTAAGTGCTCCTCATTGTTGTTATTCACCTTTAGTCCTCTCCTGGCCTGACCCATTGCCGTATCTGTGCCCTCAACAGGGCTGTGGAACCTCCCTTCCCCCTGTCCCTCCCTTCACCCTTGTCTTCCAGCACCTGGCCTAGTACAGTCAGATGACAACTGCCCATCAAATCGGATTTGCTCTAAGAAGGATTTCGGGCCATCATCTCATTCAGGGATCAACAAGGATTCTGGCCTTTTCTCCCAGTTGGGGAGTGAGGGGTGCTGAGCTGTGACTGCAGACCCTCCCTCAAATCTCTCTTCCTGCCCCGACGTCCAGGGTCACCCTGCACCCCAGCCTCCTGCCAGCTTCCAGCAGGGCAGATCCTAACAGCCCTGAGTGGCACACTGAGGAGGCACCTGGGGTTGGGGGGTAGGTGTGGGTAGCCGCCCTGTGAGCATCTGTTGGGGGGAAGGACGGCCACAAGCCAGGAGGGTCCAGCAAGGATCGGCCAGAGTGCGCAGGGCGCCATCATCTGAGAAATGGAGGTGTTGGGTTGCCACACCCAAGGGAGACAAGAAAGGTCCTCACATGCTAAAGGGGGGCCTGAGGAAGGCAGGGGAGCCCCGAGGGCGGGGGAGTGCCCTGGACAAGGGAGTTACCTGTATCTGGTCTGCTGACAACCATTCTTCCTGACGTCCACCATGGCTCCCAAGCAACATGTCCAAAGCCTGACCATCTTTGTGGCCGTAGCCCTGTGCTGACTGTAGAGGGTGACTCCAGCTCACGCCAGTGTGCTACGGACTCCCGTGACCCTGACCTTCCTGGGTCATCTTAGGTCTCTGCACCCTCCATGCCTTGTACAAAACCAGGTGTTTCTGTCATTTCTTGTTTGCTGCTTGAAGGAAGCAATGAACTCCTATGGGTGGGTGGCTGGGGGTGGGGGGAGAGGCGAACGGACAAAGGGATCAGATAGACCTGGGTTCAAATTTCTGTTCCTCAGGACCTCCCTGGTGGTTCAGTGGTTAAGAATCCGCCTGCCAATGCAGGGGACAAGGGTCTGATTCCTGGCCTGGGAAATCCCACATGTCTCAGAGCAACTAAGCCTGTACACCACAACTACTGAGCCCACACATCCAGAGCCTGAGCTCTGCAACGAGAAGCCACCACAATGAGACCCTTGAACCTCAACTAGAGAAAGCCTGAGTGCAGAAAGGAAGACCTGGTACAGCCATAAATAAATAAACAAACAAATATTTCTGCTCCTCACCCACTGGCTGTGTGGCCTTGGGCAAGTCACTTAGCTTCTCTGAGCCTCAGTTTCTTTGTGAAATGGGAAGCCCAGTGCCTACCGCCCTGGATTGCTCTCAGGCTCAGTGGGTTGCTGTGTACAAAGTAGCTCGGCCAGTGGCTTGCCCTGCGTAAAGGCTAAGTAAACCGAGAAGAAGTTATTCCAAGTCTGCACGTTCCTCAGTCTCACCCTTTCAGGATCCCATCTCTCTAGCATCTCCCAGGTCCCCTTTCGCAGTGGTCTTCAATCTTTTTGGCATCAAGGATCAGTTTCATGGAGGACAATTTATCCACGGACCGGAGGTGGGGGCATGATTTCAGGATGATTCAAGTGCGTTACACTTACTGTGCACTTTGTATTATTATCACATCAGTTCCACCTGAGATCATCAGGCATGAGATCCCAGAGGTTGGAGAGGTTGGAGGTTGGAGACCCCAGCCATCTAGTTCCCAAACCGCTCCAGCCTCAGCCTGGCCCTCAAAGGACCAGGCATAAAGACAGCAAGCTGCCCACCTTCACCTTGAAGGAACCCGGAGGCCACCTCTTCTGTCCCCTATGGGGTCCTCGCCTCCTTCCCCATCCTTCATCTTGACAGGCCCCAAAGGATATCCCAGAGCACAATCCAAGCTGGAAGTTTCTGGAATTCATGGGACAAAGCCCCACACTAGCTAGGGGAGAGTTCCCAAGGCCTGGGTGCCTACACCCCCAGCCCACCTGCTCCCTCGAACAAGGTCTGGCACCTCCTATTTTCCCAGCCAGGAGGCCTGCCGGTCCCCACATTACCACATGAATGGGCCACAAGCCCCCCCTGTCCACTCGAGCAAACAATTTGGCTAGCAAATTGACGTAATTAGGAGAGACAGAGAGGGAAGAAAGCCGCCCCCACCCCCACGGCCCCCCAGCCCGCGGCTCCTGCGAGCTCCTCCCGGGCTTTGTGGGCTGGGGCGCTCAGGGCTGATTAGAGACCTTGTGGCCTTTTCAAGAGCCCTAAGTGATTGGCCCCCTTAATCTGATTACACTTTGCAGAGCCCCTCCAGCCGCCTCTGAAGGGCCGTTCTCAAGCACCCTGCTCGATGGCGCGCGCACACACACACGCACACACGCACACACTTAGCACCCACTCAGGCTTGCTGGTGGGAGCGCTGACTCCTCTCTCGCCAGGCTCACCTCTTTAGTCGGGGACCTCTGAGTACCTCTGGGTCGGCCTGCTCTCTGCCTTCAGGGACTGTTCCCCTCACGAGAGCCCCTAAATCTCAGACACTCACAAGGGGACTGACGCTGCCCCAACACACTGGGTCACCTATCTTTTTTTTTTTTTAAATTTCTTAATACAATTTAAAAGGTTACTCTCCATTTACACTTACTACGAAACATTGACTCTATTCCCTGCGTTGTACAACACTTGCTCCTGTCTTATACCCAATAGTTCGTACCTCCTCTCCCCCACCCCATACTGCCCTCCCTACCACCCCACCGGTAACCACTGGTTTGTTCCCTATATCCCGGGTCGCCTATCTTTTGAGTGGCCCACTCAGGCACCCTGCCAGGCCAGGGGCACAGGTGTACACTCACACCCCATGGGCCTGCCTCCCCCTCACCCATTCCTCCTCAGAGCAGCCACCCCGGGTGTCCTGGACCAGCCTGCCCCCCACCCCCACCCCCACCAAGGGCAGCCCTCTCTCCAGAGCAGCTGTATTTCCGGGGCTTCTCGGCCTGCAGCTCCCAGGGGATTAGGCCCAGCAGGCAGCCTGGACACGGCTCAGGCACAGGCTGCTCCAGCCGCCCCCCCGGGAAGCCAGCTCGAAGGGCTACCCTCAATGGCCTCAGCCCTCCACTTTGTAGCTGTTAATCCCCGGGCTCAGCCACAATGGCCCCTTTTCCCAGAGTTGCTCCTGGCTCTCACAGGCCCCGGCCTGGCCTCCCACCCTGGTCGGAGCCCTCCTGGGTCACAGCTCAGGGTGAGGGTGAGCTGGGGGACAAAGCTGGGCCAAGGCAGAAAGGGACAGAAGAGGGGGCTTGGCCTTGTTAACGAACCACCCCACTCCAAGAGATGCAAAGTGGGCAAGCATGCAGGAGCAGGGAACAGGCCTAGAGGCCTCCAGAGTGACTCCAGGTTGCTGCACACCCATCTCTCAGGCCATTCGTCCTGGACGCCCGAAGAAGAGGTTCTCAGAGCTTCTCTGATGGCTCAGACGGTAAAGAATCTGTCTGCAATGCAGGAGACCCGGGTTTGGAAGATCCCCTAGAGGAGGAACTGGCAACCCATTCCAGTATTCTTACCTGGAGAATCCCATGGACAGAGGAGCCTGGTGGGCTACAGTCCACAGGATTGCAAATAGTTGGACATGACTGAGTGACTCACACACACGTAGGAACCCCACTCTTGTCTCACAGTGTCCTGAAGACACTCATCTCCTGGCTGGACCAGGAGCCAGAGCAAGAAATGTGGGGTCCAGGCTCAAACACTGACATCAGAGGGACTTGGGCTCCAGTCTCACCCTAGCACCACCTTTAACAACACTGTGACCTTGGGCTGGTTACTTATCCTCTTGGAACCTTCGTTGCCCATCTGTGAAATGCATCCCCCCACCCCCTCAAGTTGCTGGGAGGTTATATACCAGGACTTGTAATGATAGCACGGTGCCCAGCACGCAGTCAGGGCTCCATACACGGCTGCTGGCATCACTTGTGAGTAGAGAACAGGAGGGGACTTGGGATACAGCCACCAAGCCACAAAATGGGGACAGTCTCTGGGTCTCCCTACAACCGTGCTGAAAACTCTGGGCTCTGCAGGGCCCTGAGAAAACCTTCAGAGCTGGGCCTTCCAGGATAAGCCTCTCAACATTTTTAAGCCCTCACCCCCAATCACTTTGGAGTAGGAAATGGCGACCCACTCCAGTACTGTTGCCTGGAAAAGTCTATGGACAGCGGAGCCTGGCAGGGTACAGTCCATGGGGTAGCAAAGAGTCCACACAACTGAGCAGCCGATCACAAACAAGGGCCCGCCTTAGTCCAGGTTGATCTCATCTCAAAATCCACAGTCTCCCTGGAGGAGGAGATGGCAACCCACTCCAGTACTCTTGCCTGAAAAATCCCATGGAAGAAGAAGTCTGGTAGGCTACAGTCCATGGGGTCGCAAAAGAGTGACAGGACTGAGCAACGTCACTTTCCGAATCACTTGACCTGAGCTAGTTTGGGCAACAGCGGTCCAAATCCAGGTCTCTCCCTGCTGGGGTCTGGGCTTGGGTTCCCAGGGCAGCCTCGACGATACAGAAGCGACTGCAGGACCCTCGCCCCCTAGAACTGCGGTCGTGTCATCAGGGGAAGGGGCCCGGCCCAGAACCCCCAAATCCTGGTCCTCGGCTGGGCCTCATACTGGGCGAGACTGCCCGCGGGACCTGGAGGACGGATCTCCTCACCCGCACCCACCCTCCCGCGCCGCCGCCCCTCCAGTGCCCTCGCGGGGCGTGCCGGGCTGGGCTGGGCCGGCTCCGCAGGGGGAGAGAGGCTGGGGCGCAGATCAGCTGAAATCAAAGCCGCCGCTCCCCGCCCCGCCACGCCGCGCCCCTGCCGAGCCGCCGCGCACCTCCTCCTTTGTCACAATGTTTTTCAATCCGGTGAAGCAAACTGTCCAATTAGAGCCGGGGCCTCCGGCTTCCATCTTTGCCGACGTTTAATTAACATGCTCCTCTTGGCAGCTGCTGACAAGTTCCAGAAACAGGTTGTAAAGGCTTTTTGTCTTTACCCAGCATGGAAAATGAGGGGTGTTACATCGCGGGAACATGAATAGGTTGCATTTCAGCTCCTCCTCCCCTCCGCCTCCTCCCCCTCCTCTGGCAGGGGAACGGAGGCCCGAGTGTGTGAGTGTGGCTGTACGTGTGAACTGTGAGGGGTGCGGGGAGGGCGGACCGCGAGGCAGGAGAGACCTTCTCCACCCCCTCCCCTCACCCCTTCTTCTTGCAGTCTCTGCTCCACAAAGGATCTGGAATCTGCTGCTTATTCTCCAGCCGGCACACTGTCGCCTACCTCCTTGTTACCCATGCCAAACCTGGCCACGGTGATTCTCCTCTCTGGTCTCTGCTCAAGCTATTGGCCAGGCTTCCGGTGAACTCCTATTCAACCTCCAAAGCCCTGGCTCACTTTGGTAAGCCCCCCGAGCTCTGAAGGCTTGCTGGAGGTCAGGGTAGATTCTGGATGTCAGGTGGATCCCCCGCTACACTGTGAGCCCCCAGGGGGCTGGAGCTGTGTGTCACTCTGACCCCGGTGGTGGCAGGCCTTAATAACTGGCGGGAAGATCTGAACGGCTGCAAGGTTCTCCCAGTGTGGAGGGCAAGCAGGACTGGCGTGGCGGGGAGGAAGGTGGGAAGGGTTGGGGGAGGGGGAGTTGACCACAAAAGCCCTATCTCCCTACCCCCTCACCCTGCCTGAGTGCCCTTGAAAGGGTGCCCAGTCACATGGAGGGCATATGGGCATGGTCTCATGCAATGGGTGTTTCTGGGGGGTGGTTGGATGTGAATGAAGTAAGGAGGGGTCTTGGGGAAAGAGCCCGGTCTAAAAGCTGAGCTCTGCTAGGGGGCACTCCAGGCTGAGCCGACTCCAGCACCCCAAATTCTTCCTCGTGAGCCCAGGATAGTTTTCCCTGCAATGTGAGTGGCAGCTGGGTGTGGGGGGTCAGGACTGAGTCTGGAGGTTTCTTAGGTCTTAAGCTTCCCCGGTGGCTCAGTGGTAAAGAATCCACCTGCAATGCAGGAGACCCAGGTTCGATCCCTGGGTCAGGAAGGTCAACTGGAGAAGGGAATGACAACTCACTCCAGTATTCTTGCCTGGAGAATCCCATGGACAGAGGCTATAGTCCACGGGGTCGCAAAGAATCGGATATGACTGAGCAACTCACACCCCCTCAAACTGGCCCTGTTGGAGAATTCACACCCATTCTACAAAGAACACCAGGCATGTTTATTCACAGAGGCCGCCATCTGCATGGCACAGGGAGGTTTGGGGGGTTCAGGGGGCATGGAAGACACTGGCTTATGGGCAGGCAGGGGGTGGAAGAGCTCAGCAGACAACTGGCAGCTATGTTGTCTCCGAGGAGGACTAGGGTCCACCTCCAGCCCCCAGCCCCACTCCGGCCTGTTTTTCTCAGGATGTGACCACCAAGACCCCAGTGGCAGGCCTCCTGCAGCTGGAACCTGGCTTGGATGCCCACTTTGTCTACAGCTCCTCCTCCATTCTTGGGCAGGCCCCCTGGGATGAAGGCGGAGGGGGAGATGGAGGCGCCCTGGACCAGACCAGCAGGCGGGGCGCCACTCGCCTTGCTCTTGTGTTCCCAGCGTGGTCAGCACTGGCTCCTTGGGGAGCAGCAGGACAATCTGTGGAGCCTGCAGGGAGACAGCCAAGAGCAGCGGGCCACTGTCAAGTCCTGCCCAAAGCCCCTCGGGCACCTTTTCCTTTTCTGGACGAGATGGGCAGCATCAGAAGCAGCTGGTCAGAGTCTCGCTTTTCCCTTTCCTTAATCCTAGCAACCTCTCCTGCCACATCACTCAGCCTTTTATCCCAGAAACAGTTCTTTGCAAACTCTGGTCTCCAAGGAGGTCAAATAGCTATGGTAAGAGCAATGATGCTAAGTCACTTCAGTCGTGTCCGACAATGTGCAACCCCATAGACAGCAGCCCACCAGGCTCCCCCATCCCTGGGATTCTCCAGGCAAGAACACTGGAGTGGGTTGCCATTTCCTTCTCCAATGCATGAAAGTGAAAATTGAAAGTGAAGTCGTGTCCGACTCTTAGCGACCCCATGGACCGCAGCCCACCAGGCTCCTCCGTCCATGGGATTTTCCAGGCAAGAACACTGGAGTGGGTTGCCATTTCCTTCTCCAATGAAAGTGAAAAGTGAAAGTGAAGTCGCTCAGTCGTGTCCGACTCTTAGCGACCCCATGGACCGCAGCCCGCCAGGCTCCTCCGTCCATGGGATTTTCCAGGCAAGAACACTGGAGTGGGTTGCCATTTCCTTCTCCAATGAAAGTGAAAAGTGAAAGTGAAGTCGCTCAGTCGTGTCCGACTCTTAGCGACCCCATGGACCGCAGCCCGCCAGGCTCCTCCATCCATGGGATTTTCCAGACAAGAGCACTGGAGTGGGGTGCCACTGCCTTCTCCGAAGAGCGATGATAGTGACCTGGAAAGACCCCAGTTCCTCCACGTGTGCTGTGTTGGCTTTGAAGCACCTGAATCTCTCTGAGCGTTAATTTCCTCATCTATTAAAAAAGGCCCCTAAGTGGCACAGCAATAAAGAATCCAGCTACCAATGCAGGAGATTCAAGAGACGCAGATTCTATCCCTGGGTTGGAAAGATCCCCTGGAGGAGGAAATGGCAATCCACTCCAGTATTCTTGCTTGGGAAATCCCATGGATAGGGAGCCTTGTGGACTACAGTTCAGGGCGTTGCAGAGTCAGACACGACTGAGCATGAATGCACGCACACATTAAAAAGAGGGAAGTTGGGATTTCCCTGGAAGTCCAGTCGTTAAGACTTCACCTCCAAATACAGGGGGTGCAGATTCAATTCCTGGTGGGGGAGCTAAGATCCCACATGCCTTGTGGCCAAAATAAAACAAAACAAAACATAAAACAGATGCAATACTTATTGTAATAAATTCAATAAAGACTTTTAGACAAATGGTCCACATCAAAGAAAAAAATATCTTTAGAAAAGTGGGAAGTAATTGCACTTGTAGAGCTCTCTAAGATGTCAGGTGCAAAAGGCATGAAAAAGGGCTCAGTGCATCTCACAGAGGGAGCAAGGAAATGTTAGTAGATGGCGGGGGGGTGGGGAAGGAAGGAGAATGAGAAGGAAGGAAAACAGATTCTTGCCCGAGTTGATCAACTGAATAGAGCCAGGCCTGTCATTTTCATTTTTACAAATGAGGAAACTGAGGCTCAGTCTCTGGGGTGAAGAGATCCTCAAAGTCATGTAGGCAGTAAGCAGCAAAGCCATGGATGCGCCCAGGTCACTTTCCATATATTCTTTCTAGTCCAGAATGCCTTCCACAGTTTCCTGTGTCTATCCAGTAGGCACATGGTCTGACACCAAGTGCCTCTCCCACCAACCCCAGCATGACGCTGGGGGGTAGAAGCTCACATCGTCAGTTCTTGATGCTTTCTTTCTGCCCCTTTGCTGGTGGCATCTGATTCCCAGAGTTGGGCCCCTACGGACAAGCCAAACCCATGCTCACCTGCTTCTCTCTTGCCCGGGGAGTTTAAGGTTCTGGGGGCCTGAAGCTGGAATCCTCAGGATGGAGGGCAGTGCTTTTCGGCTCCTTGGGTATCTGCAGAGAGAGGAGGCGGCTCTGAGGGCCCTGCCCCACCTGGGGCAGGTGTCCCTGGTGGAACTAGAACGCCTGGGCAAGGCCAGGAACTGCGAACGGTGTGTGGTGGGCGCCACCTTGTGGTCACCGTGCAGTTTGCATGCCGTGAGGCAGGGCAATCCACACACGTGTCGTGCTCCTAGTTCAGTTAGCCACTGTCCAGGGTGCTTGGGCACTGAAGGCCAAGCAGGACACAGTCCTTGGCCCACTAGAGCAAAGGAAAGGGGTCCAAGTGAAGTGCACAGTGACAGTAAGAGTTGTACATGCACGCAAGAGGCTGATAACCCAGCCTGGGGGAATTCCAATTGTGCCAAACACACTTTTGAAAGAGGAATAGTGATGCACCAGGTATGAGGCAGCTTGGCAAGCTCCCTGAACGCCAGGATGGTCCAAGAGTGAGGTTGGGGTGGGGAGTGGGGATGTAGGGGCATCCGGAAGTGGACTGGTAGATGGAGTATGGATGGGGGAGATCAGCCCAGCCTTGGCCTCAAGGCTTAGATTTGATCCTAAAGATGTCCTCACCTGTGCTCCTGGGGGACATTTGCCTCACCTCTGTCCTCTGGGAAGTCACCTCATCTCCCAGGTAAACTGCCAGAGGCCAGGGGCCATGAGAATGGCCTGATGGTGGCTTACTTCCAAAGGCATGGGATTGTGTGGCTTGAAACTGAGCACTGCTGATAATACAGCACAGAGAAGGTGTGAACTTGGAAGAAGTTATAAAGATCAAAGTCCCATGGACAGAGGAGCCTGGCAGGCTACACGGGGTCACAAAAGAGCCAGACACACCTGAGCAACTAAAACAACAACAATGTAAATGATCAAAACAGAACCAAGAGAGAATTCCCCAGGGGTCCAGGGGTTAGAACTTGGCATGTCCACTGCTGTGGCTGCCCGGGTTCAATCCCTAATGAGAAAACTAGAATTCCACAGAAAAGGAAGAAGAAGAAAAAAAACAGAACCAAGAGTGAACTTCTATGTATAGAATAGATACATTTTTTTTTTAGTTTATTTCATTAACTTTAATCTGTGTGGTTTCTGATTGTGGTGTCTGAAATAATTTAAGTTCCCACTTCATATATAGAATGAAAATAATTATGCTGCTAAAAAATAAAGTTTATTCATAATGTAATAACACAAAACAGTTGTTATGATAGAGAAAGAGCAGGATATGAAATCAAATATAATATCATCTTAGCTATTTAAGAAAAGTTCATGTAGATTTATAAAGGGGGGGGCTGGAAGGAAATATACCCAAAATATTAATAGTGCTTGAATGAGTGATGGAATTTCTATTTATCTCTATTTCCAGGTTTTCTT